GAAAATCCAAGCTGGGTTCGAACCTGGATCGCTGGATTTCTAGTCCTGGTCCTAGTCTGCTGGGCTACCTATAGATCTAATGAAGTAAGTCGTAGGGTTGTAGTTATGGCAGGCGGACGTGGGATGACGTAAACTTTTATTTTTTTCCGAATTAAGAAAATCCAAGTTGCGTTCGAACCTGGAACGCAGGGTTTCTAGTTCTGCTCCTAGTCTGCTGGGCTACCTATAGATCTATTGAAGTAAGTTGTAGTGTCGTATTTATGACTATGGGACCTGGTAGGGAAGGGATGTATATATGCTGGGACCGCGTCTATATGAGGTACCCCGGACTCTCTGGCACGTATAGCGAACAAAAGAATGACGTCGCAGCAGCGATTGATCATGCGGCTTTTAATTTGATATTTGGTGTGATGATTAAGGGGCCGCGCGCGCGATATTGCGTGAACGGGGTGAGCGTCAGCCACCCGTTTTCGCAGATTGAGCGTGCTGTAAAGGCGTAATCACACTATAGGTTGCGAGCTCGATTGCGATTGAGGTTACAATTAACAGTTTCAGGTTGATCAATCACACTATAGGTTGGCAATACCAGTGTGGTTATTGTTGATTAACCAAGCCGGTAATGCCAGTCATTATGTCAAATATAAGAGAAATAATTTTAAAAGAGCGAAAACGTAGATTTTTATCTGCGTGTCTAATATTGTGTCTAGCAGTTGATCAAGAAAAACGTAAAGTAAAACGTTCTGTGTGGACCAAGCCATACTTATTACGAAGAAAATGTAAAAGTATGCATCATAACCTATTTCTGGAACTTGCGTTTGAAGATCCAAATCGATTTTGTAGGTACTGTACACTTTTTATCAATCAATTAATATATTAAATAGATTAAAAAACTGTAAACAATAAATAAGGACTGTTTTTAATGAATAAAAGTAGTAACAATTTGAATAATATTTGCAGATGTCTGCGTATGAACAGTGATGTCTTTCAATATTTTGTTGAAAAAGTTACACCTCTTATTTAAAAGAAAACGCATTTAAGAGAAAGTATACCTCCTTCTGAGAGACTCTCCGTCACCTTGCGTCATCTAGCTACTGGTAAAATATATAAACACAAAACAATAATACTTAAAAAATTAAAATTTATATTTTTTAAAATTGAAAATTAAATCAACTAAAAATCAACACAATAAAAACAATACGTAATTTATACTTCACAATATACTTTATAAAGTATAAATTGCACATTATCTTCCGCGCTTGATTCTTACTTGCCGTTTTTTAATTGCTTTGATATTACTTTTTTCTTGAAATAATTGTGTTTACAGGAGAATCACAAGAATCACTTAGCCTGCAGTTCAGAATTGGTCAGAGCACAATATCAAACATAATAAGAGAAGTATCTGCAGCGCTTATCAATGTTTTAAAAGATGAATTTTTGCGAATACCATCATCTGCATAAGAATGGGATATTGTTGCTAATGATTATGGACAAAGATGGAATTTTCATCATTGCATTGGTGCAATAGATGGGAAGCATGTGCGAATAGATCCTCCTCTTTCATCAGGATCAGCCTATTACAACTATAAAGATTTTTACAGCATTGTTTTAATGGCTGTTGTTGATGCACAGTTAAGATTTATATACATAGATATAGGTACCAATGGAAGAATGAGTGATTCTCACATATGGAACAAATGTAGTCTCAAATCTCATTTGAGTAACAATAATATTCCTTTGCCTCAACCATCTCCAATTGCTGGATGTGTCGATAATTTTCCTTATGTACTGGTTGGTGATGAGATTTTCCCTCTCACAAAATACTTGCTCATTCCATTTCCAAAAGATCAGTGTCGTAATCGGTTAGATAGAAGAATTTTTAACTACAGGTATGAATGTAAATCTGTATGATCTTTTAATCAAAATTATGAAATAACATGACAATTAATCAATTATGAATATTAATGTTAATTAAAGAAATGGAATTATGTGTTGCATTATTTTGATAGGTTATCACGTGCCAGACGCTGTTCAGAAAATGCATTCGGTATACTGGGTGCAAGATTTCAGATTTTTCGAACAGCTATGAGATACG